AAAAATACATTTTATCAATGAGAAGAAGCATATTTAAAAACGTTTGTCCAGCTGGGCACAGTGGCTCAGGCCTGTAATCCCAGCACTTTGAGAGGCTAAGGCGGGTGGATCACCTGAGGTCAGGAGTTCGAGAACGGCCTTAACAACATGGTGAAATTCCGTCTCTACTAAAAATACAAAATTAGCTGGGCGTAGTGGTGCATGCCTGTAAACCCAGCTACTCAGGAGGTTGAGGCAGAAGAATCGCTTGAATCCGGGAGGTGGAGGTTGCAATGAGCTAAGACTGTGCCATTGCACTCCAGTCTGGGCAACAAGAGTGGAACTCTGTCTCAAAAACTAAACTAAACTAAAATTAAATTAAATTAAATTAAATTAAAAAAACATATTTCTCTAAGGAATCGACCTAAATGTCCATCAATGACACACTGGATGAAGAAAATGTGGTACATATACACCATGGAATATTATGCAGCCATAAAAAAGAATGAGATCATGTCTTTTGTGGGAACATGGATAGAGCTGGAGGCTATTATCCTTAGCAAACAAACACAGGAACAGAAAACCAAATACCGCATGTTGTCACTTATAAGTGGGAGCTAAACGATAAGATCTTATGAACACGAAGAAGGAAACAACAGACACTGGGGTCTACTTGAGGGGAGAGGATGAGAGGAGGGAGAAGAGCAGAAAAGGTAACTATTGGGTAGTGGGCTTAATACCTGGGTGATGAAACAATCTGTACAACAAACCCCATGACATGTGTTTACCTATGTAACAAACCTTCACATGTACTGCCAAACCTAAAAGTTTAAAGAAGTAAATAGCATCTCTCCCAGATTTGCTCCATGATTTCTGCTTAAAAGACCCACAACATTAAGCGTTTCTGGGTGTGAAATTACACAGGCCTCTCTTAACCACAAATTGAGATGCCAAGCACAAAGAACATGCTCATTAATATCAAGGTGGAAGTAAACACAAAGATAGTTGAGAAAAGCAGCAGATCACTACTACAGGCATTAGGTAAAAGATTTTTATTCTTATTTAACCATGCTGCATGTATACATACAATATCAATATATACAACTTGAACAAATACAATTTATACATAAAATACAATGAAAGCGTGGCTTTTGAAATTAATGCAACAAACTGTACAATTTGTAATTCTGGCCAGTATACAGTATTATAGTAATGCTACTGAAGTTATTCATTATTTAAATTAGTCAGACTACAGTGTAAGTTCAAAGGCACTAGAAACATCTATGTTTTCTTCTAGTATTTTTAAGAACAAAAAATAATTAAAAACAAACAAATGTATACACTAGGAAATTGGGCAGACATTGGTGTACTTAAATGTAAACATTACCCATTCCTTAATTCACAGCCTGTAGGAAAGAAGAAGACTTTCCTTAAGAGTGAAGGGGAAGGATATTAAAAACAGACTAAAAAGAAACAAACAAAACAAAAAACAACCAAAAACCATAATCATAGTTTTAAAAACATGTTACAGAGGAAGTAGCACCACCCCCTCCCCCAAAACAACCTTAAATTTTTGCTGCAAAAAGAAAACAACAACAACAACAAAAAAAAAACCTCCCTTTCTCCAGAAAGGAAATGAAATGGCTTGTCAAATGGATTCTATTCATGGGGCAAACATGGAGATGCAACCCTCCCCTTGATTACTCATCTCATGCTTTATAAGAATCTAAACACAAATAAGAAACACTATGATAATTTTAACATCCTATTAGTATATGTAATTGTAAGGATTATTAAAGAAGATACTATAAACCAATAATTCTACCAATGCTCCTTTTAATAAATAAATATTACTTTTTAAATTAAAGGGAAAAGAGAATACCCATTCAATAACCTATTTATATGTATGTGCCACTCATTTTAAATCTGCATATTTATTTCAAAAAATGAGCAAGTATGTTCATCTATATTGTCTCAGGAAATTAACACTGACCATACAAAATATTTCATTTATGGACAAAGACACAGTAAATGTGAGGAAACTACAGAATTGCTATGACTGGAGCTAAATGAATAGCTCTGAAGTCAGTGTCCCATATTTGCATATAGATATTCAGACCAGGCTTGAGGCCAGGTGTGGTGGCTCACACCTGTAATCCCAGCACTTTGGGAGGCCGAGGCGGGTAGATCACAAGGTCAGGAGTTTGAGACCAGCCTGGCCAACATGGTGAAACCTGGTCTCTACTAAAAAAAATACAAAAATTAGCAGGGCATGGTGGCGCCTGCCTATAATCCCAGCTACTCAGGAGGCTAAGGCAGGAGAATTGAACCCAGGAGGCGGAGGTTGCAATGAGCCAAGATCGCGCTACTGCACTCCAGCCTGGGCGACAGAGTAAGACTCTGTCTCAAAAAAAAAAAAAAAAAAAATTCAGGCCAGGCTTAAATATCAAATTTTTGGTATTTCTGAGATGGATATTTAATGTCCATCTGGTATAATCAGTTTTAACATAATGCTTTTTTAAAAAAACTGCTATAGTAGGTGGGGTGTGGTGGCTCAAGGCCTATAATCACGCCTGTAATCCCAGCACTTTGGGAGGCTGAGGCAGGTAGATCACTTAAGCTCTAGGAGTTAGACACCAGCCTGGGCAACATGGCAAAACCCCCTCTCTACAAAAAAACACAAAAATTAGCCAACCATGGAGGCATACAGCTGTAGTTCCAGCAACTCAGGAGGCTGAAGAGACAGAGGTTGCAGTGAGCCGAGATCATCCCACTGAACTCCAGCCTAGGTAATAGAGCAAGACTCTGTCTCCAAACAAACAAACACCCCTGCTATAGTAGCCTGCTTTAAGAAATTCTCAATTGACTTTCTATAGATCGGCTTTTTATTTTGACTTTTTATAGATTTCTTTTTATTATCATGGTAGGGTGGGATAGAAAAAACATCTAACATACTGGCTTAAATTTCCATGTTTTAAAGCTTGATTTAAAAGTTACTCCTTTCCTATTAACTGAATTGTAAAGGTTAGAAACATGAACTTTTAAAAAGAAGCATTTTTTTTTTCAACTGGTAAAATTAAGATATCTTTACAGTAATTACTAACAGAGTTAAATGTGTATCATCAAAAACATTTTATAATTACCAAAATATTCTGATCACACAAAGCTTTTACAAGACACATATTTACCTCAACTCTTCACAGTATTTAAACAATGCCCCACAGAGTTAAGTAATAAACTTCTAGCTATCTTACATACCACAAATAAATGCTGCCAGTGAAATGCAATTCTAATCACCTAGAAAATGTTCACCACACACAGGACATTCAGTATTCCAATTATGGAATGGACTTGAAATTTATGGATACATTTTTATTACCACCTCACCAGTACCCCACCTTCACTCACCCCTACTCTATACACAGCTTTGTCATTAAACTAAGATTTAACAAAACTTATTAAAATAATATTAATTTAATAAATACTAACTTATAAAGTCTCAAAATATTTTCAACCAATGTGTTTCAGGGCTGATTACATAATTTTGAAAACCACAAAACATATATTAAGTGGTTTAGGAGTAGCATAACTTTACTTTTATTTTATTTTTATTTTTTGAGGTGGAGTCTTGCCCTATCACCCAGGCTGGAGTGTAGTGATGCCATCTTGGCTCACTGCAACCTCTGCCTCCCAGGTTCAAGTGATTCTCCTGCCTCAGTCTCCCAAGTAGCTGGGATTACAGGCGTGTGCCACCACACCCAGCTAATTATTGTATCTGTACTAAAGACAGGGTTTCACCATGTTGGCCAGGCTGGTCTTAAACTCCTGACCTCAAGTGATCCACCTGCCTCGGCCTCCCAAAGTGCTGGGATTACAGGCGTGAGCCCCTGTGCCCGGCCAGGAGTAGCATAACTTTAAAAAAAAATAAAATAAAAATTTCATAAGCAGCCAACAACAGAAAAAAATAATTCTATTATAGCTTACTTTACTATGAAATCAACATAGTTTTTATTTGTAGAGGAATATGGTCTAACTGGATTACTCAATAGAAGAAATTCAGAAAATAATATTTTATTTTTAAAACAGAAAAACAAAATAAAAAGTGTTTTAAAGGCAAAGTGTTTAAAAGATATTTTTCTTGCTTAGCTGTATTTTCTGGAAAATGGAGACCCTTCTCAACTGGGAGATATAAAGTAATTCCCACCAAAATTTAGAACTCAAAGAAAAGCATCCGTAAGTTACACTTCAGAGTGAATTTTTAAAAATACACATGCAGGCAAAGATAACTGAGCAGTACTTAGCTTCTTAATTTTCTGCAACAGTAGATCCTTTATATTTACGTACAATTCAATATTTCAAGAGAACATGAAACCAGAACATAAGATGTATTTGATTTGAACTCAAACTGGCAAAAAAAAAGTTAGGAAAGGTTCAGATGAAACATTTTCAACTTTTTAAAAAACATGTATACTCGCAAAGATTGTTAAATTATAAAATTTTCTACAGAACATCAATAAGATCAGTCATCTCATACTTAAAATGCAACAGATGTTAGACAATTAGAATGTGTTTAAACAGGCTGGGTGGGTTAGTGTTAGGACAGAATCATTTCTTAGATGTACAGTCCAAACATTCATATATAACAGTGTAACATAGGACAATCTGATCTGCTTCTTTCTATGTGCAAAACAGGACACAGTTTTTTTTTCTATTTTGAAATTCTAGTTACCTAAATATACAGTAGTTGGATAAATAGCTAATCAATTTACACATACATCTAAACTGTAACTCTCTATAGTATGAACTGCTCCCCCAACTTCCCTGCACAGTACAATTGAATAGTAGTAGTACGACAATTTGAACAATCACCAGTTGTACAATTTTAATGTTATATTAATATATGTAGACTAAAAGTTATTAAGCAAATTATTATTTCCAGTCTCATTCATTGATCTACAGCTTCCATCAACTGAAATTATAGAGAAGTCTTCACTGTTTTAATTAAAGATTTTGTACAGGCATGAGAATATCACTAATTTTTATTGTGACTTTAAGTCTGTAACATTTACTGTAGTAAAGAGTCAATTACAGTTTCAGGCTTTGCAGAACGCTTTCTGTTTGGAGAAGAAAAAAAGCAAGCATGAATGCTTTCCTAAAAGACTGAAATGCAAACATTTTACATTATATAGAAAATATGGGGTGGCCTGTATAGAGTCTGGAAACAAGCCAAAATTTGACACGTTTGACCATGGTAAGTGTTCAATTAATGCTCACCTTTTCAGGCTACAGGAAGTTGACTTAGAGTAAATGCAAGAGGATGGCAGCCCACCCCATTATGCCAGATAGTGAGGGCTAGGACAGGTGATAATTTCCAAGACTGGACTAGGTCATGTGGCCAGGCCAAGTGAGCTGCATGCTTGCCAGATTTGAACCCCCTGATTATCTCTTCTGAGGTACTCGAAAAGGTACAAGTGCATTCAGAGGAAATCAGAAACAAATCATCTCAGGCAACACCTCACAGATGCGTATGTAGGGATTTATGGAAATGCTATATTAATGTATTATATTTATTGCAATTTTGACCAACCCATCTAACTATGTGTTTCTAATGAGGAACACCATATTGAACATATCATATAATGTAATATAACATCAATAAGCCATTTAATGCATGTATTCATCCATGTTTATGGCTATCATTTTCTTAGGGTTTCCATGGTTATAGCAGGCCAATTCTAGTAAACAGAGATGGTGAGTGGCTCATATAATATTGGGCCACACGATTTTTTTAATGTTAAACTAAAAAAATGACATATCTTAAAATGGGTGTTCTGGAAAATGTATTCAAATATCTTATCATATTATTTATTCGTTTGCTTTAGGGTCCATATAGTTTAAAAAAAAAAAAACAGTAACTAAAACCGAGAGATCTCAAGTAAATAATTCCAATTTCTGGCTCTTCCTTAGAAAAGAGAAGATCCAGGCCAGGCACGGTGGCTCACGCCTGTAATCCTAACACTTTGGGAGGTTGAGGTGGGCAGATCACCTGAAGTCAGGGGTTCGAGACCAGCCTGGCCAACATGGCAAAACCCCATCTCTAGTAAAAATACTGAAATTAGCCGGGTGCAGTGGCAGGTGACAGTAATCCCAGCTACTCAGGGCACTCCAACCTGGGCAACAGAGTGAGACTCCATCTCAAAAAAAAAAAAAGAAAAGAGAAGATCCAGAAACAATGAGCCCTCTATTTCCATAGATAACTAGGAAGAGAATAGCAGCCACTCACTTTAGACAGGACTGCTCACCACTGCCAATTTTCCTCCTACGCTGAGGACAAATGTCTTACCGATTATCATCACACTTGCATTGTCATTTTATTAAAAATGGAAAAGTAAAAGATACATCTAAAGGGACTCGTGTTTCTTAGAAATGATTTGCTTCACTCATAATATGCACGGCATGTGTTGGTATAGGAAAGTTTTTAACCCCTCACCTAAATGCTACAGAATGTAAAAATTTGTACATTTTTAATATTCAACTGTTTGCCCAACCCTGAGTTCAACCTTCCCAAATTTGTAAGTGTTAAGTCATGTCTATGAGATTATGTAACACAAAAATATCAAAACCATACAACTTCATCCCACATGTAACTTGAAAGTCCATGCACTCAAAGTAGGGAACAAAGCAGCTTATTATTTCCTACATTTCAGGAGCCCCAGAGTCTTAAAATCAGCTTAAATAAACTGAAGAGTCCTTGATGTAGGAAAGGGAAAGGAAAAAATAAGCTCCAGCCCAGGACTCCCATATCCCGATTTCCCTGAGCTTATGTGATGATACATGCAGACTACCCAACAGTCAAAACCAGTGCCCAAAGGAGAGGGGAAAATGTCCAAGGAAGTTCTCCTTAGCTGGTGACTGAGGAAATCAAGGTTCTTGGGGTACTGTGACAGAAAAACTAACCAGCTGAATACAATACCTTGGGAGACCAAACAGGCAAATTAATTAGCATTTCATAAGAAGAATTAGTCTAAGAATTAAGGAATTAAACCCATTATATATTTCGGAAATAACAGAGTGAATTAAAAATAAATTCTATTACTCAGGAGCCTAAGAAGTTGGAAGACCTTAATTCTTTGGCCAGATTTTATTTACTCGAATTCTAATACACAAGGAATTTGATTTTTTTTTTTTTTTTTGAGACCAAGTCTTGCTCTGCCACCCAGGCTGAAATTCAGTGGCATGATCTTGGCTAACTACAACCTAGGTTCAAGTGATTCTCCTGCCTCAGCCTTCCGAGTAGCTGGGATTACAGGCACGAGCCACCATGCCTGGCTAATTTTTGTATTTTTAGTAGAGACGGGGGTTTCACCATGTTAGCCAGGCTAGTCTCAAACTCCTGATCTCAAATGATCTGCCTGCCTCGGCCTCCCAAAGTGCTGGGATTACAGGCGTGAGCTACCGCACCTGGCCAGGAATTTGATTTTTAATAAATCAGCTAAAATATGTATTATATTTTAACTAAATAAATGTTAACTTCCTGTACATGTATCTAATTAGAATACCTCAATGCCTTCATTACATCAGATTCAAGGACAGTCCTTACCTTCTCCCTGTCTTTGGCCTGGCTTTCCCCTTTGAAGTTCGTGGTCTTTCTAGTTTCATCAAAGACTGACGCAGACTCTCCTCAGTATAGGCAAGATACACATGAGAAAGGTCCACTTCAAAGGGCTAAAAGAAACAAACACAAAGCACTCTTAAGGGAAAGAGTTAAGCCAGATTTGGGGGAAGATTTAAAATACTGAATAAACTCCTCAAAAAACCCTGCAGAAACTAAAACCAAAGAAACGTCTAACGACATCATCTTCTAATCCCAGTATCTAAAACGTACTCACCAAGGTTGGTGAGTAAGAAGCCCTGACACACTATAAATTTCCTTCCACACAAAGAAAAACTGCTGCTGTTTTTCTTAAAGCTGCTCCCTCTTCTTTTTTTTGAGATGGAGTCTCGCTCTGTCGCCCAGGCTGGAGTGCAGTGGCGCAATCTCAGCTCACTGCAAGCTCCGACTTTGGGTTCACGCCATTCTCCTTCCTCAGCCTCCAGAGTAGCTGGGACTACAGGCGCCCGCCACCGCGCTCGGCTAATTTTTTTTGTATTTTTTTAGTAGAGATGGGGTTTCACCGTGTTAGCCAGGATGGTCTCGATCTCCTGACCTCGTGATCCACCCGCCTCTGTCTCCCAAAGTGCTGGGATTACAGGCGTGAGCCACCGCGCCCAGACTGCTCTCTCCTCTTCTTGACCTATGACTAGAACTAGCTTTGAAGAGAAAGACAGACACATTCTAGTCTCTACTCATAACCCTACGACCCAGAGTGGTAGTGAAAAGAGGACTCCAAAGAGTGACTCCATGCCGTCTTATGGTAGGAATAAGCCTGACATCAAGACTGATGGTAAGCAGAACGGTCCTCCTCATCACCCCATCCTAGAGCCTTTATTCCCAAAAGATCAGCCCGTTTCTCAGCACAGCTGATTAACAGATATCAGGTTGATAATACAATTTAATGACTCATATTCCTATAAAGAAACAACTGTAGTTTTGTGTTTTTTCAAGAAGTACTCTTACATCTTTCTCCTTTTTATCAGGTACTGGGGTTTGCTTCCTCATGTTATTTCCTGTATAGGCAACACATTTCTCAAAAAAAGAAACGGGGGAGAGACAGAAATGTCTTAATTAGTAATCAATACTGTGAGTGAGGCAACTAACTGAGAAATCCTAATATTACACTAGTAAAACATGATTTGAATGCTGGAGCAGAAAGGGCCCCAGAGGTCACTTAGTCCCACATAGCCCCTGACCCTGACCATTTCCACCCAGACCATGATCTGTATGTTACAATTAATTACACAGAATTAGAAAAATATTTTATCTGCCCTACTGGATTCTCATCTGATTCATCCACTGGACCACGTTCCTCCCCGTTGTAGCCAGCACAATATCTAGACCATAGGAAGTACTCTCATGAAAGAATTAAGGTAATACTCACTAGCTGCCATTCTCCTATGTCTTCATTCCAATGGACATAGTTTTCAATCATTTCCTTTTAAAAGGATGAAAGAGAGTCTATTTTTAATATTTAATAACATTTAAAATATTGAAGTCATACAACTAAAATCTTAATAACATTGAGTAATAAAAGTCTCAAAACATTATATACTGATATAACCTTTTTATAAATTCTAAAATATATATTTCTTAGGAATGGATGTAGATGCAATAAAACTAAATAAAAATGAAAAAACAACAGAATGAGAAACTCGGGAATCAAGATAATGATTACCTTGGGTTGGAAGAGGCAAAGGAATGAAATAAGGGAAGGGGAAACTGTTTGGTTAGAAGTAGGTTATTACCAGGGTCCTAGCTTTTGTTTTGGGTGATGAGTCCATTACAAAAATAACTAAATAAAAGCAGGCCATCCTAGGACCAATAAGGAGAATGTACCATGAACCCAGGATTAATTCCATGTACCTGTGGTCCAAAAAAAAAAAAAAAAAAAAAAGACTAAGACTTATTTTCAGACAAATTTCTTACAGTTGTATTGAGATTCAAAACAGATTTTTTAAAAAATTGGCCAGGCATGGTGGTTCACACCTAGTAATCCCAGGACTTTGGGAAGCCAAAACGAGCAGATCACCTGAGCTCAGGAATTCAAGACCAGCCTGGCCAACATGGCTAAACCCTGGCTCTACTAAATATACAAAAATTAGCTGGGTGTGGTGGTGCACACCTGTAATCCCAGCTACTCAGGAGGCTGAGGCATGAGAATCGCTTGAACCCTGAAGGCAAAGGTTGCAGTGAGCCAAGATCACACCACTGTACTCCAGCCTAGGCAACAGGGTGACTCTCCCTCCCTTACAAAAAAAAAAAAAATCATAATGTTAAAGTTTACCAAAATGTACTGGAAAGACAAATTTTGGATTAAAAAAAAACAGAGGCTGAGATTTTAAAATTATACTAGTACTAAGAATTAGCATCCATCTGGAGATGAATGATGGTGCAGGTTGCACAACAATATGAATGTCCTAAATGCCACTGAACTGCACACTTAAAATAGCTAAGATGGTAAATTTCATGCTATCTACATTTTACCACATACACACACACACAAAAGAATCAGCATCCACAGCAGGGAGAAAAAGGTAGCATAGGGGTTCCATTTATTCTACTTGTACGATACTGGGCGCTGAATGTAGGAATGGGACCCACACCTTGATTCTGATTGCATATACATGAATCTGAGTTCATCTAAAAGGTTAAAAAATTCTCATTGAGGCCGGGCGCGGTGGCTCAAGCCTGTAATCCCAGCACTTTGGGAGGCCGAGACGGGCGGATCACGAGGTCAGGAGATCGAGAGCCATAAAGCGCACGCGATCTCCTTGTCCTGACTTACACCAGATGAAAACCTGGCCGTCTCTACTGAAAAGATAACAACCAAAAAGCTAGCCGGCCAAGTGGCGGGCTGCCTGTAGTCCAAATAACCAGCTTACTCGAGGAGCGCTGACGGCAGGAGATGCGTACCCGGGAGGCCGCAAGGCCTGCGTGCTGAGGATGTCCGGCCAACAAAACAAGCCTGGGCGACAAGAGCAAGACTCCACTCTCTAATAAAAAAAAAAAAAAAATTTCCTCATTGAGACCTTCGAGATTACTTCCAAACACAGATTAAAGCTACTTAAGATAAGAGTTTATAACAATCTCAAGTGAAAGTTATGGACATTCTGTTAACAATATTGGTACATTCAACTAACTGCAGTACCTTAAGTTAGCTTTACCATTCCCAATTCAAATTTTAGCAATCTCTTTGCGTTCCTTCACACCCATAGTCAAGTGACCTTACTCTTGGTCAGCAGAACCTCTCCTATTTCTACCTGATACATCCCCGAGGTATATGAAGTTATCAATATAAAGCATCTGAAGTCGAAGCTCCCGGCAAATTGCCGAATTTCTCCAGTAGGGCTTCAATTTCCCTCTGACATGTTCCTGCGTTAGCTATGCTCAGTCTACCAGGAAATCCATAAAGATATATGACAAATCAAGGACTTTAACTACCAAAACAGCCACCATCCACAATAGGACACGTCTACAGAGACCGCTTTGTGCGAGCTTACCTAGTTTCTTTATATAAAATGTAACACGCGTGGACACTTATCGGAGCATCTATTCTACACTGATTCGTTAAGGTTGAAAAGAAACACTTAGACCCTAATAAGAAAATAAAAATTTGCGGCCATAAAGGATAATATTTTATTTTCTTTTAAATTATAAGAGCTCAACATTATGATTACTTATAAATTCTCTAATCAAACCAACTCCTTTTTCAAAAATTCAGAACTGCATTAGATAGGAATTTTCTAAAAGAACACCACTGATGTTTGCAGCCATCAAGCGCAATAGTCCAACTTTCTTTAACCTTCTTGGTCTTTCCCTGTGGCTTCCTCTTGCAAGGCTGGCTATATTTGTCTTCAATATCCAAGTGCGTTTCTTTGCTATGACAAAAAATTAAAACTTCATAAATTTTCTTTGGTAAAAATTAATATCTAATTCTTTAACACAATGACCCAGTAAATGATCTTAGCAACCTCTGATCTTCAAAGCAATCCATAAATGTGCTTTTCTGTTTTTTTTTCTTTTTTTTTTTGAGACGAGTCTGGGCTCTGGTCGCCCAGGGCTTCGGAGTGCAGTGGCCGATCTCAGCTCACTGCAAGCTCCCGCTCCCGGGTCACCCATTCCTCCTGCCTCAGTTCCGCCGAAGTAGCCTGGAC